ATGCCACAGAAAACAAAACAGCAGGAAGTAAAATAAAATAAAACCAAAGGAAGAAAAGGAAGAGAACAATATTGAAGTGATGCGTAGGAACTAGATGGGATAGGACTGTCTGAACAGGAAAGTTTTGAGTCTGGATTTGAAAAGAGGGAAGGAGTCCAGAGTACGGAGATCCGGAGGACATTTACTCTACATCTACCCTATGTTTACTCTGCGTTTCCTCTACGTCTATTCTACATCTACTCTGTTTACTCTACGTCTACTCTACGTTTACCTTAATTTTACTCTAAGTTTACTCCGTCTAAAGGTCATATGGTGGTGAACAGGAGCTTCAGAGGGTCAACTGGACCAGTGCCCTGGTACACTGGGCTGACTTGTCCAAGGTGAGGGGCTCCAGGCTCCAGGCTCCAGGCTATCTCTAGTGGTCATCCGGTTAACACTAGCAACGCTGTTGCTGAGTTTGAATCCAGCGGCTACGTCCTCTAAAGGCCAGATCTTTTGGCCAATTACGTCATAGCGTGGCATCAAGGCCTGTTTGGATTTAAAGACTCCTCGTTATTCGGTCGACAAATGCAGCCTTCTTTTAGCCCTTTTGGAGGACAGGTATCCTATGTAGCTTTGGGTATCCCATGATTCAATGCAAGTCCAAGCAAACCAGCTGCTCTGTGCTCAGAGGAAAAAGGGATATGGCACCGAACAGTGGTGAATGTTAAAAGTTCAGTTTAATAAAATCCAAGTATGTGAATAGTTCACTCTGAAATTAATTAAAATAGTTAGAGAAGTTTAACATCGACTAGCGGTGAAAGCTGTAAAAGGCTGAACCTGTTTGAATCCATTACTAAACTCTTCCAGCCTTCCAAGGACCCAGTCCAGGTAGACCGGGTCCTTAGATGACAAATCTGCTGAAATTGAACACACCCTGTGACATACAAGTGACCTGAGTCTACCCAGTTCTGCCGTTAACAACAACCAGTCTGATCTGGTGTTCTTCTGTGTGGACTCTCCCTTGGCATTAGTGTCCTACACAAATTCTCCTTCCTCTGCTTGTCTGGTGCTGCAGGTGAAACATCACATCCAAGAGGACATACGTCAAAAGAAACTAAAACTGGAAGAAGAAAAACTTCAACTTCAACACCTAAAGGTCTCATTCAGTAATCATCTGAATAAAAGCAGTTGTCCAGTGGATGGAGGAGTATGAATTCTCCTTCCTTCCCTGAAGCCTGTGTTGTGTGGTTTGAACAGAAGAGGGCGCTCAGAGAGCAGTGGCTGATGCAGGACTCAGCCGTCCACCAGCAGTCTGATCTGCAGCAGAGCCGAGCTCTGTTCCTCAACATCCACAGGTACAGCTCACACGCAGCCTGGTCACAGCTGGACCCACACTGTGTTCTCATGACCTTTACATGCTGTCAGGATGGAAAAGGAGGTGGACTTCCTGGAGAGGCAGGAGGCGATGGTTTCCACCAATGAAAGCCTCATCCTCACCCGACTGAAGGCTATGGAGAAAAGTCCAGAGGAACTCATCCAGGTGGGCCGCCTTTCTTAACAGATACCCCCTCTAGCCACTGCTTCAGTCACCTTCTGTTACTGATCCGGTTGTCTTTCAGGAGGCCCGATACAGCTGGACTGGTAAGTCCTGACTAGTTCTTTCACCCTTCAGATGTTGTACAGATGAACAGATTCTCACAGCTGTTTTCTGTCCCATAGTATTACCCGAACCGACCGGCAGTCATCTCTCAGGCTTTCCCAGCCCATCAGCCAACAACCTGAACACTCCAGCAAACAGTAAGAACTACTTGCTGCCACTAGAGGGAGCTACTGCTGCTGTTGGTGAGATGTATCGCGTTCACTTCCTGTTTGGACTACTGAGCAGTGTTGCTCAGTCTATCTCCATCTGAAGGAAGTTATTTTTTCTGATATCTCTGTATCTAAGTAACTCTAACTGGCCAGAACTACTTTAAAACGTGGCGCCTTCTGCTGCACTTTTCTACTGAGCACTTGTCAGTTTCACACGGTTTTATTTCTGGTAGTAAGGAGTAGCTAGCCTAGGCTAGCACTAGCTTAGCATCACTATGGCTTCTCTCTCTCCCTCCCTTGACTCTTTTCCAACTCTTCCTTCTTCCTCT